GTGCAGTAATATACTGGGATTGTTACTGTGTACTGAGATGTATACTGACATGGGTGTGAAGTCTCTGGTCTGGTTCAACATAAATTTTATTTAATCAGAAGATGGTGAGGGAAGAAGATGGTCCTGGGAGCAGTAGAAAGTGAGCAATTTCCAATGGGCTGTTTCGAAGGATCCACTGCTCAACGGACTGGACAAGGTGCTTAGGGACCTCAGAGCCTTTCTTCAGTATTAAGAGGTGGTGAGAGAACTGTGAGAATTTAGGCAAGTAAATCCAGAAAAAGCTTTTTTCACACAAATGACCCAAGCCTCTGGGGCTTTAAGTATTAGGCTGTCTCTCAAAGCAAGACTCACCCAGGTGGAGCTTGTTTCAGGCCATCAAGGTGAGGCTTTCCCACACATCCCACCTGAAAGCTATTTAAGCCTTCCCAAGCCAACAAGGACTCTTCCATGGAGGCTATGCTGGTTGTGGAGACTGGGATTCCTCCATGGCAGCTATTGAGCCTTACCAGAAATGTTGTCTCTGTAAGTGGATGGTAAGTGGATGGCTGTGAGATCTGGCAAAGTCCTGGTTTGGGAGCAGGTCATTAGGGAAACGACCACTACAGCCTGGGTGATGCACATCACTGCAACAGAATAAGGATGGGAATTCACAAACTTTCTGGTCCCAAGCCTCTCGATCATATTTTTGACCCAGTATAGTAACCTCTGAAGTTGCACTGATGCAGCTGTTTTTGATGTCAAGTCTAAGCCCCAACTAATTTCTAGGAAGACTTTATTTTTTATGTGGACTATCATCATCTAACAGCACTATTGTAGAGTAAACACGTGTACTGGCAAAACTGAGATGGCAACATGAGGTGGGGATTTTCTCTTCGGAGGTGGACAAGATGACCTCCGGAGGTCCCTTCCACTCTCAGCTGATCTGGAACAATATGATGCATGTGGTACTGCTGCAGAAGTCCTCAGCTTCATAAGGAGTTGTCTGGGACTTTTAAATTGTCTAGGCTTGATCATTTCAGGAATAAAACTTGGTGCTGTAGAAAGTGTGGCTTGGGGCCGTCAAAAACATAATTTTGAGGATTTTTTTTAACTCAAAAAGGAGTAACAATGGGGATAGATTTCATTTAAGATGGGTCTCATGGCTGCCTAACGCTGCAGATGAGCACTTACACTCATAAGGAACTCAACAAATCCTGTTTACATCTTGTCATGTGTAAATACCTTTGAAGACATGGCCTTACACACCTAGAAGTCAGAGGTATAAAATCTGGATATAGTTATCTAATGGGACTGAATCATCAACTGAAACAATAGTTACGTTGATTTATGTCTGGAGGTGGATTTGGTACTGCTTATTTATTCAATAAACTAATTTTGTTCTCTTATGCATTCTGCCAAATGGAATTACCTGAATCTCCACATCTAAACTGGATTAAAAATGTAATACAAAACGGCGTTCACAACTATGGCTCTGAAATCATATAAATAATATATGGTTGTAAGATGAGTAGTGGAAAAAGCTCAGAACCTGCAAAATGACATACTGGGTTAAATACTTTTAATTGTCTGCCAGTGTTCTGCCTGCCAAACTTACAAGATAGGAAGAAAATGTTAATTGGACATGCATGTGAAAAATAGATATTGCATATGGATTGCAGATACCACCAAACAGACAACTGCATATTGCCTAAGCAGCTGCACAAGCTTTGCACATGCAGTTCCATATTTTGGGCACATTGTAGCTGTAATTTACAACATTTTTCCAAAAACATTTAAATAACAAATGGAAAACCCAGCCCTCGCACGCACCCTCTCATGGGCGTTTGACATGAGAACGGTTCCGACTGACGATCAGAGATAATGAAGTATTGAGCATTATGTCTGCCATCGTTATTCTAACTCACTGGAGTGAAAGTGTTGTACAGTACATACAATGCTCAGCAGACACGTCGTTAGTCATAGCTACATTCATCACTTAGACAGACATTTCAGAAGATTTTGCTGGTTGCCTATAAGAACCCAGCTGAATAGCTAGCACTTAACGAGCCACAGTATCATATTTCTATATCTTATAAAATGTCATCCGGAAACGTTAGGGTATTATTTTTATTTGTATATGGAGGCAGTTTGCCAAGTGCTAGCATGCACAGCTCCCGCTTGCTTCAGATGGTAGAAATATGACAACGTGTCAGAGATCTGATGTAAGTAAGGGGAAATTATGTTTATTCTCTGCTATGAGATTAATTTTGAAAGAAAGGCACAATGAAAGAAAGACAAAGCTTTAAATGCATACAAGGGGAGAGATTTATTGCTCATGGTGACACATAAATCAACCAGGGACTGACTGTGATACACAGTCTGCTGCTATATTCTTCTCCACCTTTTACCAGTCATTCTAACAGTAGCTTTTCTTTCTTTTTTTTTTTTTTTTTTTTCTGGGAAGTTATTTTTCTCTATTGGAATAATGGATTGAAAATGTGAAACCCCTCTGGGGCTGAGTTTATCAACATGCAAACCTCCCTTTGACTTGGCAGCAGCCCAGTGTATAAACTGGCAACACTTACGGACTTCAACTACCACCCCATTCTAATTTGCTTACATAGAAAGGGTCTTATACACATATATATATGTATATAAGTCAAATACATAGCATCTTGGTACAATGCATTTTACCTTTTTAAGCTCACTAATAATCACAGAATCACAGAATGGCCAGGGTTGGAAGGGACCTCAAGGATCATGAATCTCCAATCCCCTCCCCCACCACATGCAGGGCCACCAACCTCCACATTTAATACCAGCCCAGGTTGCCCAGGGCCCCATCCAACCTGGCCTTGAACACCTCCAGGGATGGACGGGGCATCCGCAGCCTGTCTGGGCAGCCTGTTCCGCCTGGCCCTCCTCTGGACCCTCTCTGACAGCTTTGTAATATCCTTTCAGGATACAACAAAGTTATCCAAACAACTTGAATTTCGTAAGAAACAAGTATCAAACAGGGTTTTTTTACTTATTGCACCTGAGAAAATTACATTAAGCCTAACAAGTTCAATGGTTAAGATGAGGTAGACAATGCAATATGACTAATGGCTAACCTTGAACACAGTTCCCATAGATCCCATGACTATATTTGTGTATGCATTTTACTTTACTTATGCTGTACTTTTATAACTAAACTGGATAGCTAAGCTGAAGATTTTTATTTACGTGACTGTTACTGATCTTCATACTATCAAATCTTGCATTTACAACGCAGGTGGCAATGAGATTAACATTAGATTAATATTTTCCTTGCAGCTGTGATATCATGCCAGAGAGTGGGGCTAAGGCAAGGCTCTGCACACCAGCACCCGAGCTATTACCCCTAATATATTGACTTTGGGGTTCACTGAGTTACCTATCCAGGTTTTGAACTGATGGTGAGCAACATCAACAGTAGATGCTTTTTGCAAGGTATCAAGGCGATTGTTGTTGTCGTAATGTCTGTCGTGTTAAAGGACAAATATTCATGGTGGAACTTGTAAAACAGAGTATGCCGAGGTTTGCAAAATGATTGATACTGGTTATTTATCATAAATGAAGCAGAATATACTAATTTAGCTACTTTCTCTTGTATCTTCCAAGCAAAGGGAAGGTCTTTTGCAGAGCTATGGACACCATCCAGTGCCCTTTGCTTGGAGGACACAGCTAAAAAGTAATTCCATCAATATGATTCTGATTTCTGTATTTACAGTGGGAATATAAGGAAGAATAAATGTTAACAGAGCCAGCTGTGACAGCTGTTATATAAACTGCCACTGCATGCATGGAACCTGATAAGCCAAGACTATTCATTATCTGGGCATGTGATACATTTGCTGTTTCACCTTACCAACAATTCATGTACTTTATGGCCACTGAGCAGAAAGTTTATTGACGTATTAAGTAAAAATTTCTTATGTTATCTTACCTGTGCCTTGTGGACTTTGCTGGAGACAAATGATTAGAGTTATGGTCAAAATTGATTGCAAGTCTTTTGCCTATCAAAGTACAAATGTAAAGCCTCTGAGACCAATAGGCCTTTACCAGAAAATAATTTCAAGATATTATGAGGAGGATACATTTTCTTGATGCAAGTTGTATTATGAATTATTACTAAAATCATAGCAGGGACAACCAATTAATTATTATTCTAGATTTCATGATTTTTGCAGCTTTGGGACAAATTTCATCTCTTTATAATTCAGAAATCCTAAAAAGGGGGTCGAGGGTAGGCAGGAGGCATCCTAACCATTCCATCCTATTTATCTACCTTTTTTTTTTTTTTTAGTCTTTTAAAATTTAATGAAGAGGAAAGTAATAGAATTCTGTGAAAGTTACTTAGAGGACACATCAGAATCCAGCCTGTAATGTACTCAAAAGAGATTTTCTTTCCACTCATTTCTACAGAATTGTTCAAATGATATGTACCAAATGAGATTGAAAGCTATACTGGTCACTGTATGAGTGCCCAGGTAAAGATTCTGCTATTCAGATTTTCCTATTAAGATCTTTACTGTAGGGTACCTGCTGAAGCAATCAGGTTGAGGTTGTTTCGTAAAGCTGGCAGATCCATCAGAAAGACCCTGATCTGCAGCCAGTGAAGAACATGGCACAGATATATTTCTGTGTGGCTTTTTTAAAAATAATCTCACTGTTTCACCTTTCTGCTCCTGCTACTCTCATGAGCTCTCCCACCAAGGAGCAGCTTTTCACTCTATGTGTAACTGCGGATGGAAATCAATGGGAGATTGGTCTTGGTGAAGTCTGCAGGGCCACGCACCAATAGCACACTGCAGTTGGAGAGAGGAAGCTCAAAGCAGCTTCCCATGGGTGTATGTGGGCTGTAGAAGGGACACAGCCCCTGTGACCACTTCCCAAAGCCTTGACAGCTGAGGATAGCTATTAGGGATAGGCCAGTTACTGTTGTTTCTCGTATATCATTTAATGCTTCTGGAAGATCCCATACCCACAAGGAAGGCTCCTCATTCATTCAGCTGCAATATATTTCGATTGTGCGACTCGCTCGTGAGGGCAGACGAGTTGATGGAGCTCCTTTTGAGGATCTTGTTTATGATGTCCTTCCATGTCTTCTTGTACTGATTCCGTAGCAAAGAGTAAACAAAAGGGTCTGAAACTACTTTGCTGTAAGCTAAGCACTTGGAGATAATTCCCCAGTGGGAGCTGATGGGGATCGAAGAGGATAATTCAACAAGTCTGTGGGAAGAGGAAGGTTGAAAGAGTGAGTATTCCAGCAGCACAATGAGAAGTCAATGACACACCCCTCCCCAAATTCCTGGGACTGTGCACACTAGCAATGAGCATAACTTTCTCTGATTACTCTAGGGTTTTCAGCCTTAGTAAGAGCTCTTGTTGGAAAGCAAAGTTTTGCAGTTGGTATTTCTTTTTTGTTGTTGTTGTTATTATTTAGTGTTTTCTTGTAATTTCTTTCTAGTTGTGTAATGCCATAAGATCATGTTTTTAGCAGCTGAAGCTCATCATAGACTTGATTGAACTCTGAAAGATATGAAAAGAGTATAACTTTCCCCAAAAACATTTCCTGATGACTTCCATGCTTAACTGCACCATTTAATCCACCGTGCACACCACGTTTAATAGCAAATATAATAGTATACATATTTCTATGTAGCCCAGCATCATTTCCTAACTAGTGTTGCAAAAACTTTGGGTTCCTAAGTCTTAGATCGAGACACTGACCATCATCACTGGGTTTAGTGGGTGTCATATCTCCCTATTGCTATAACTTAAAGTACAACATCTGGTCCATAGTCATCCTTCAAGTTCATCTCTGGAGTATCTGTGAAACCATCCTGCAGTGATACATATCGTTTACAAGTCCAGGTTCTGGAGTGTGATGCGTTTGAATAGTCTGACTGAGTCATAGGTGAAGCACACAAGGAAGGAAAATTATTCACTAAGAAATGGCTCAATTAATCTTACCTTTTAAAAGTGGTCAATTTGAAGACAAAAATACTATTGTAATAAATCTAGCCCAGAAAAACATTTAAGCTATTGGGAAGGGAGGGAGGGAGGGAGAGAAGAGCTTTATATGCATCTGACACCCCAGCACAGGCCGTTCACTTTGTTCTGAGACCTCCAGTGTTTTTGACAGTGCAATATTGATAACTCCACGAGATTTTCTTTTCCCTTGTCTTTGAACAACATTGAAGGGCAACTCTGTTCAATATGTCTCTACAGCTGTTGAGTAACTATTGATTTTTCTAGAGGAGAATGATTCCAAAGGGCATATGTGCTGCTACAGAGCCCCACTATGTGATAGCAAATGAGATCTTTGATGACAACTATCTTCAGACACAGGTGTTTTTAAACCTGCCTGGAAAAATCTTCATCTGCTAACCTTTCCATAGACAAAGGACCATTTCCAAGGAGCATTCTCAAGTGTGATTTCTACAGCATCAACACCAACACTGCTAGCATTTCAAGCGGTTTAGAAATAAGGATTTCCTCAGCCATTTTGTTTGTATTCTGTAAAGTTTCCCTGCATTTTGTTGTTTAAAATAGCACTGGCAGATGGCATGGTCTAGTCACTGGAGCATGAAAGTGGGGCTGAGGAGCCCGAATTTGATACAGTGTGGCAGTAGTGCTCGAAACATCCCAGTGCTCAGGAATGCTAGGATGTCTACCACTCTAAGAGGTACTTCTGCTCTTGCAAGTTCTTTCTTACAAGGGCCTCTCTGTCATCTTGAAATGGTTTCTGAGCACCTCTTTGGCATCAATATGCATATACTGCAACAGCACGCAGTGCGAGCCTAAGCTGTATTAAATTAATAATTTCATGGAATCATGAGATAAAGGGAACTAATTGAAGTTCGACAATTCATGTTATATGCTCCTAATTTCACTGTCAAATAATTAAGTGTTAGTCACTGATAACCACCATGTTTCACCAAGAAATATCATCCTGTCGCAATTAACATCTTTACATTAATATGTCCTATTATCAAAGAACAAATTATTTTCAGGCTCTTTATATCTTTACTGAGCTCAATGGCCATTTCAGAAATGTTCTGCATTCGTGTGCTGTTCTCTGGGGAGATCAGCTTCAGTGGAGACAAGAGCTGAAAGTATTATGCATATGAAAAGAGGAATGCCCAGTACTTACTGGGGTTACGGGCTCAGGGGCATGTAAAGCATTGGAGTTGACCAGGCTATGTTATGTGAAAATGCTTGAGAATTTGGCTCAACTCATCACTGTAAGCTGCTCTGAGTTCCCAAAGAACTGCCATAACTTTCCTCTCCTTTCATCTTGCCTAAGTCAATGCCATTCTTCCAACCTCTCCCTCTAACTTGTGGTTGATATCTTTTTTTACAAAGCAGCACCCAAATTCAAATACAATTACCTTCTATTCTGGCTGCTGGAGGTCTGGTCCTGTAAGAAAATATAGCTATGACACTCATGTAAATATGTTCTAAAATGAGATTTGAATATTTGGATATTCATCTTCTAGTGAGTCATATTTACTCTGTAATCTACGGTGAGCCATCCTTCTTCATATATTTAATGACTTCTTTGCATTTAAAATTTTATCATCTTGAATTTAATGTGGTTGATTTACTTTGGTCAAATGTTTTACAGATACTGAATTTGATTAAGTTTAATTAGGTGCAGTGGATGCTTTGAATGATCAAGGTATGACAAATTTGTGTCTGAACCTCTGTCCCCTAGTCCTATGAGCTGTTAACTGTCTCCATTTAGAGCACATCACACGGACACTGTAAATGTAGGTGTACAAATTCTGCCCTCAGTGACTGACCAATTAAAAATCCAGCACTTTTATCAACAGAATCTATGACATTTTCCTCAATTATTACCTCGTGTCCTTGACATTTAAAGATCTTGCCATTTTTGTGTATTATATTTGACATTTGCAGATACATAGCAACAAACAACTGCAGATAAGCCCCAAGATACGCAATTCTATTTGATGTAGAAACAATTAAATGTCTTCAAGTCGTGTCATATACCTTATTACCTTTGAAAGAGGGTTTTGTTTCTCATTAATGAGGGAAATTATAAGCATAGCTTCAATTTTCATGAAACATTTCAGCCAGGAAGATGTTTTCAGTGAAGGTGCATTAATATTTCAGTGCTATCTCTAAATTAAATTCTACAGCATTGGCTACATAATTCCCTAACTTGCTTTCAAAAGCCACCTTCTACTTGTCTGATACCCAATTCCTGTACTTCAAAACTATAAACTGTTTTGCCACGATAATTTTTTAATATCTTAGAAACATAATTCCATGGTGCACTTGGTGGCAAGTGGTAATCCGATTATTTTATTGCACTTTCAGAAGTAAACAAGGATGTCACCTTGAAGAGTAAGGCCTCAAACTCTTATGCAGATAACACAGAGGGAAAATGCTTTACATCCATGTGCAGATTATCACGTTAGTAAAATATTTTACAGGCCATATATAGGTCCATATGGGCAGCTAGTATAATGGGAGCATCTCTCCCGTGCACTGACTCCCCTTCAGAAATTAACAGAGTTTTAGAGAAAACTCTGAATAGGCTGGAGGTCCTCAAACAAATGATTATGTCTTGTTCAGGGGCGAAACTGAGCAGGAATTCAGGAACTTGGATCGACTCTTTAAGCTTATAATCCTAATCCTAATTTTAGTTCTGCTTGTTACCAACTCTGATTTTCTTTGTTTATTTCACACAGGACTCATAGTATCAGAATTTTACCTTGGTCTTTTTTCTTTTATTAATGAATAAGCTGAACAAGATGATGAGTGTTCCCACTTCTTTTCTGAGAGGAAATACTTTTTTCCTACTACCCTAAAACCTGAACCTCCCCTGGCACAGCTTAAGGCTGTCACCTCTCTTCCTACCCCCACCTATGTCATATGAAGTTTCGAGGAGGCCTAGAAAGCCTTCAAACTTGTCAACCTATAAGTGCACGCTTAGGAAAAGTGTGCATTTATAAGCAGACAAGCAAGAACATAGATCAGAACTCATTTGTGAGTTTGCCTGTCTTTGTGCCCAAGCAGCGTTTGTATGCAGAGGGCAACCAACCAATGTAAAAATGCATTTTGTTTGTCCCATTCCCCGGAGATGATACGAGAGAATTTCAGCCTTCTGCCTCTTCTGCCATCCTTTTCCCTAACCCAAGGGCTTGGGACTGCACATCTTTTTCTAATATTACTTCAGAATTTTTAATTTAGGGCCCATCGCCCAATAGTTGACAGCATTTAGTAAATCACTTGAGCAAAGTTCTGGATTTGTCTGAAGAGTGTGGAATTGGACACAAATATTAGAAAGTAGTATGACTTCTTATGATTTTCCTCATGAAGAAGCTTCTTGGAGAATTCAGGTTTTCAACACTGTTTTCAATCACATAACAATAAATATAGCTAAAGAAGGAATGTGTTACTAAAGCATTTTTCCAAATCAAGCAACCAGCTATACCTAGCAATATCCAGCATATATCTGGTATGTGAAGACACTGAATCAATAACAGAATTGTTATTATTAAGATGTACTACTTAAGGTCAGCCACTGAACTAATTAAATGGGCATTTCCTTGACAAAAGGGGTGACTAATCTGATCTTTACCCTGATGTAAGCTGAAAAAGACTCTGGTTGACCTAGAGAGGCATTTGTCCAACTGCAGCTCTAGGCATGGCTCCCTCCCTGGCTCGTGGGCTGCTGCAGACAACTGCTGGCTTTTGGTGTGGAAGCTGAAAGACGTTATAAGGTAATCCAGTACCTGCTCAAATTATCAGCTGGTTTAGAGCACGTTTAATGGAAGTGAGTGCCACTTTGAGCCTGCTGTTCACATGGGAATGACACGCTTTGTCAGCTATCTTCTGTTCACTGCCTAGAAAAGTGACTGTTTGCTCCATCTTGTGAAGTGCAAAACACTCTGGGTTTAGTCCAGAAAAGAATACTTGCTTACATAACTAAGCTTCCTCCTCGTTGTAGGTTTGACATCAGTCACATGCAAATATCCTTTCCAGATATCATGGTGCAAAGCATCTCTATACTGTTAGGACTCTAAGCCTCAGTTCTTCTGGTCACCCCCTGCAGAAAAGCCATCGGTCCTTCACGGGCTGAAGACTTGTGTGAATGTTTAGTGAACCTTTTAAGGATTGAAGCAGGTAGGTTTTTTCTAACCCCCCCCCTTTTTGTACTTCAGGATTAGAGGCACACAGGCTGCCTCGGAGCTCAGTGGTAGTGGGAAGGTGGTGGCTGAACTCTGGGCTGAGCTGCAAGGAGCACAGAAATACTTCTGACAGCCCTGGCTCATGTGCTCGGTGTCATCAGGGCTGAGCTGAGAGCTATTCAGTGCCTGTGATGATTTTCATTAGCTTCACTCACCCAATATAAAATGAAATTTAGCCACTTGAAGCAAGGCATACTCTAATATCTTACAGCCTGACAGTTAGGGCTAAGTGCCCATAATTTTAAATCCTTTCTTACCCTTTCAGAGCACAGGGCAAGGTCTCTTTTCCACTGTAAAGTCAGGGTGAAGAAAAATTTCATAATGCTGTACAAATGTACTCCCAACATTGTCACAAGTTATTAGCACGGATCAATTAGCTGTTATTATCATGAGCATAAAGTTAATGTGGCATGCAGTTTTTTCTTTCTAACAAGAGACTACAAGACTGCTTGTTAATTGTTTTGTTAGAAACAGAAATTCAGGATATTGTACTGTGATGGGAAAATGGGTTTCTCTATTGCCCACTTACACTGAGTCTTAATTCTGGTTTTTCAATGTAGGGTTTTTTTTTTGGCAATTCTGAATTTGACTGACATCAGCCTCAGTAATTTCTCCCCAGTAATACTGGAATAGGTGATGCTTTAGGTGTATATATCTTTTTCTTTCTCTGCTCCATATAGCAGTATTTCAGTTTTTCCTGAGTTTTAATAATGAGCACAAGTTGTAAATTTCCTTTCAACAACTTGATAACACTAATCCAGAAATACTTGCTTTCCAACAATTTTGTTTCATAGGACTACTTCTATGTTTCCCACAGGAGCCATTTTTAGAAATAAGCTGCTAGATAAATAGGAACATCTGAACATAAATTGCAGGACTTTCTTTAGCCATAAGCCAGACTAACTTGATGTTTATGACCAAGCATTCAGTCCAAGAAAGCTGCTGTTTAAATCTGAGCTCTGCATCCTGACCTATTCGGACTACTGTCCTACGCTATGGATTAGCTCACCCCTACCCCACTGGGGTATTCTGAGGTCTCCAAAATTCTTGGTCTCAGAAAATAACTACAACATCTCCTGGCACCTGGGGATTGAACTCCCTAGTCCCCCCCATGCAACCCATCCATTGACTTGGCTCACAGACTACAGATGGGTTGGCCTGGCTGTGACATTCTACATAATGTGGTTGGCACAGCAAGTAGAATCTCTCGTAGGTGCAATGTAACACAGAACTTTCACAGGGAGCTTGCATCAGTTTCAGTGCCCTAATTTTCTGACCATTTTTTCAGAACATAAGTTCCTGCTTACCTTGTGATAACATAAGGTGCAAAACAAAGTATAAAGGTACCAATGAAGGTACTTATTTTCTTTGTTGCTCGTTGCCTCCGTCTCTTCTGCTCTTCTAGACAACGCTCTCTTACACTGTGCAACATTCAACACAAACAAGAACATGAATCATAATATCAGGTAGCAGACTTGAACAGCTATACTTCTGAAATAATATAAATCAATTCTTCCAGTACATGCTGCTTTCACACAACTCAATAACCAATGCATTGCATTTCCACAGGAGAAGAGTGACTATTAATGCTTTACATGACCTTACCTTCCAAAACCAATTACTGAGAAATGCATGCATGTACACTCATATCACATATGCGCCCCATTACATTGATTTATTTATGGACAGGCTGGTGGCATTCAGCCTTGAATCCAATGGCATCTCCTTTCTGAATCACTGCAAGCTGTATTTGAGTTTTCCTAATGATATTCAAAGGTTTACAAAATAGTAATAGAGTGGGATAGGCAGCATCCTACTTCCATAGGAAAGGCAATTCAAACAATCATATCACGATAGGAGAAACAGCCCAGCGAGGTAAGAAATAAAGCACAATGAAAACATAACAGGAAAAAATACGCTCTTGCCAGTCAGCCCAACACTGGGGCAATCATTATATCCAGTAGCTGTGAATAATGCAGCCGTAAATCCCACAACAGCTTGTGCACGTGTTGAGCACTTTGCAAAGCCTAGACAACAAATCTGAAAAGCTGAGGTGTTCTGACTCTGAGGCTCAAACCAGCCTTTTTTCCAATCAAACAGACACCAATTAGTCCTGTCCTGATTTTTCCATCCTCCTCTACCTGCTTGTGCAACTTCTGTGCTGGCTGGGTGAAGACCAGGGATGTGTCTGTGGCTCTCCATGTGTTTCTGTGGGATTGGAAGTACAGGTTGTACGTCCCAGAGCCATCTGCACCTGAACTGGTGAATCTGCCAACATACTCCCTTTGGGAAAGGATGAAACCAAAGCCAGGCTGCCTGCCCAAATCCCTCTCTAGGCACATAGCAGTGTTGCTGCCTGTGGGCCCATTGCACATGCCTTGTGGCAAAGTAACCACGTGTCTTGGGCGAAGCCGGTGGTCTGGCCCATGCACAGCATGTTGTAACAGCTTGGAGCTCATCTCCCTCTGATGTTATTGTAAATTTGTAATTGATGACTCATTGTCAGGTTCCACGCTTGCATATGTTAATAGCCGTGTGGTTTATGACCGCACCTGTGTGCTGTTTGCTCTAAATGTCATATCAACATCTAAGCACGTGTTGTGTCCTGAGGATCTCAAGGTGCTTTGGGGCTATCTGTGTCAGACAGTCCTAATGTCATCTTTTGATTGGGCTAAAAAAAAAACCTGTTTCATTATTTCCTTTTTATTTACTCTCTTACATCCAGTTCCTAGAGCAGCTGCCATGATGGAAAAGTGAACAAAAGGAATAACAAATTGCCTTGCTCTTAAAGAATATGCCTAAGTAGAACTAAAATGTGTCTAACAGTGTTACATGTTCTACATCTGAGTTATACGCAGCTCAAAATGACAGCTGAGCAGTAAAAAAAGAAATCCACCTGTTTGAGGGAACCTATGCTTCCAGTTCTGCAGGAGCTGAAGAACTTGGTGTACTTTTAGGTGCAAACAGGATCTAAGAGGTTCAGCAGCTTCACTTAAGACCTGCGCTGAGACTCATAACATCCCAAGCACACATCAGTTTAGGAAAAAAAATTTCCAAAGCCATTTCAATTAGGATGCTGTTAGGGTGGGGAGGGGTATTTTTGTGTCCAATAGTTCCCTCCGTTATCTCTCTCCACTCATTAATTGGTATACAAAGCTGTTATTGACCCCAGGAGCTCACGTGTGACATGGGAAGTCCTGAAGGCTTCGGCTGATTTCTTTTGTTCTGCATTTCCAGATGCAGCTAGTAAATACCACATCACAAATGAAACTATTTTATCTTGTTCCTTCATATAGATCCTGTGCTCAGATGGGTATTTTACTTTTGTGTTCTCTTTCGTGCAGTTAGATAAGAACATAAACATGGGTTCCACGGATGACATTGGTAACAGAACTGGATTGTTGACTAAGCTTTCATTCAAAGATTTTAATATCCTGAAAAATCTGAGATACATCCCTTTGAAGCTTTGGTATTTTAAACAAAGCTTATGAGATACTGAAACTTAAGATCCACTATCTTTAAGAGGTGGATACACAAAAAGATAGCATAGATAATTTTGGTTGAGAAATACATGAGTTAAGCACTTAAGAGAATTAAGAGAATCCTTGCCCAAGCCTCTCACAATAACTCAGATAGCTCAGTCTAGGGAACAAAGTCAAGAGAGAGCAGTACCAGAAAGCAGTACCCAGTAAAAATGCCAAAGCTAACTTGAAAGGACACGTGCCCTAAACATTCACACGGCTCTGTGCGGTATTTAGAGGTTTCCTTCGTACTCATCTCAAATGATCTTCAGAAGATCACTTGTGTCTCCCCAAGTCACAGGTAATAAAGCCATCTGTCATAATGCCTGTCCCAGAACCCCTGGCGGGTGGATTCTGAGTCACAAGGAGCAGAAAATTGTCTGTACACATTTCTCAGCTTTGAAAACAGACCACACAAAAGCCAGGGGAAAGCTAAGCTACAGCTGCAAACTTTGGCCTCTCATGTACGTCCTCCCAGTGCCTCCCAGTGTTTTGCTGTTGCATACTATCACAAACACTAAACATTCCTGTACGTGTGCCACTTATATAACTCAATGCAAATCCCTTTGTGAAGAGCCTCTGTGTAGAGTCTAAGATCTGACCCTGACCCTAAGATCTGACAGCAGCTGCAGCTGTCACTGATAGGACAGCAGCACTGTAGGTTGGAATCAGCCATCGTTGCTGTAGTCCAGAGAAATCAAAAGTCCTCTTTCCTACAGAATGGCCTGATGTAAGAGCTGAATAGCAGCAACAGAGCAGCAAAGTGCCTGTAAAACTCCATCTCCTCCAAAGAAGGGGTACGATACCCACAGCCCCATGAACCTGCTCTTCTGTGAGACGATTAAGAAATGCAGGAATACCTTCAAGTTAACTCAGACAAGAAAAAATGCAGAGGAGGAGAACACCGTTGTGATTTTTGCCTTTTTTTTCTAAGCTTTTCTATACAATCCAGCCATACTTTAAGCATTAGGTGTAAGGATTGCTACTTCTAACAGCCCCAGCACATGCACGTCTACAGCACTGCACTGCAAGTGGCCACAGCATCCCACAGCAGGAATTAAGAGTGACTGGGATACAGTTTAGAAAACCAGACAGCATATGGGGAAGGAGGCTGTTTTTTCCTCTCTGTGACTTGGTGGATAAAGGAAGATTTATACATGTGTTTCTCAAAAGCAGGAACAGGACTCACCCAAGGTTCTGCTCCACGTTTGTGGTCAAGACACGGATCAGACAGCTTAACTGAGAATTTTGAGCAAATGTTTCTGTTCCTCTGACACAGCACTGTCCTGCCCTGATCCTTTCAGACTTCTTTGCCTCAGGCTAAGGAATCCCCAAGCTCTGACCTCATTTTGAGGACAGCCACATGTGCTTCCTTCCACTCCTGCAGTTGGCTGCAATACAGGAGCTGCTGCTTGCCTCCAGCCTGCAGAGAATGGCAAGGTGGGATGCTGCTATGGGACAACCCCCCTCATCTGCTCGTGGCTTTCCTCTCTTCTTCCCCAGCTGCCAGCACCTTGCTGAAAGACACTTCCCTTCAGTGTGCACTTACAGACTCAGTTTCTGACAGCCTCCCAGTCATCATGCGCATCCTTCACAGGTGCTCCACAACCCCCCATAGCCAAACCATCTTCTCCCCCTTTCTCCAGTTGAGTCCATTGGAGCCTTTCCTTCCCAATCACCTGCTCCAGTCACACTCCTCCTCTAAGCGAAACTGTCAGCAAACTGGGCCCATTTCCTCCCATGCTACAACCAGTACCCCTGCTTTCGTGGAACCATAGAATTATAGGCTCATTAAGGTTGGAAAAGACCACTAAGATCACCAAGTCCAACCACGAATGCATCACCACCATGCTCACTGAACCATGTCCCACGTTTCCCCTGCCCACATCTCACTCTCTTTCAAGGTGTCTTTCCCACCTTGTCCCAGTTCCAACTGGTCCTTAACCTATCTACCCCAGCTCATCGGAGCCTCCAAGCCCAGAGCGTATTGTGGTCCATCAGCCACTCCATCCCACTGCATCCTGCCTTAGCTTTGTGGATTGATTTCTGATTTCCCCTTTTCCCAGGCAGACTGCTCTGGCATGTCCTGACGCTGTCTTCTCACCGGCCCCAAGTCCCAGGGCTTCCATCCAGCAAACCTTTCTCTCCTTCAGCTGTACAGCTCTGCATCCCTTAATGATCAGGAAAAAGTCTCTTCCACTCTCCCTTTCCCAGCCAAATCTGCTTCACTTGCTGACCCAGACATGTCCTATTTATGCAAGATTTATAGCCCGCACATCATCTCTGACAGGACTCTTGCACAGCTTCCCGACACACATCCATGCCTGCTTGGTGCTTGCCATTCTTCTCCCAGCCCCTGCAGACTTTTCTCCTAAAAATTCTCTCGCTTAAGGACTCTCATTAGCAATGAGCTTTCTACATCCCTCACTTGTCATATTAACATTGCTACTGAGGTATCTCAGTGGGATTTACGTACAGGCATTCAAGCATACCTATTTAGCAGATGTTATTCCCTTATGATGCTGCCTTTGGGAAAGATAAAGTTACAGAGAGCACAGCAACATGGACACAGCTGGAGGAGCAGCGAGTGCCCCAGCTCCCCTTCCCTCTCAGCTCTGAGACAGGGACATGTGCTCCCTCTCAGCGAGAATCACTGTTTCAGGCTGACAGTGCTAAAATCTGTGACTCTATCAATCACTAAATCCACTTTCTGAGACGAAGAGCAGTCGTCTGATCACTGTTTCAAAGGGAAATGCATGCTCAGCCAAAACTGCTTGTTTCTTTGCTCTCCCTCCCAAAACAAGCTCCTAAGAAAGAAGACTTGTTTTTGCAGCCGGATAAAACACAAACACAAGTACAAAGCAACGTGCAGAACAGACACCAGCAGGAAGGATGCTTGTTTTCTCCCCCTCCCAGTCCCTCCCTGCTGTGACACTGCTCAGACTGCATTTAACATAACACTAAGCCCCGTCCTCACTTCCTCTGCAGCCAATATTCTTTCTTGCTGAGCACACAGGCACCTACCTGGGATGGATGTCCACAAGCAGTACCAGGGTCTGCATAGTGATCACGTCAATCCGCTTACAGTGGAACCGTGCCACCTTCAGCACTTTGAGATAAGTGAAACACAGGACTATAAGGGAGAGGAGGAAGCTGAGGGTGTGAAAGACCCCAGTGAAAATCACAAACTGTGTCCTATCCTCTGGTCTCTTGTTGTACAGGGTGCAGGAGGCATAGAGGTGATGGAAACCCACCCAGGAGAGAGACGCTGCCACTATGGGGAATGACACAGAGTGTAACCACGTGTAGCTCAGGATGAGAGCAGCATCTCTGTACCTCATTTTGGAGTGGTAACTTAGAGGGAAGACCACGGCAATCCACCTGTCAATGCTCAACGCTGCCATGCTCAACATGGAGTTCGTGGTGAGGAAAGTCTCCAGGAAGCCCACAGCGTGGCAGATCTGATCTCCTCCCGGTTGCCTCTTGTAAATGATCCCAGCCAAGGTCAGGGGCATGCTGGAGACGGTCATCAACAGGTTGCAGAAGGTGAGGTTGAGGATGAACAATCCTGGGACCTGCTTGCGGATGTCGGCGCTGTACAAGAAGCACATCAGCACCAGCACGTTGGCCAGCAGGGCCACAAGCATCAGCACCACCATCACAAAAGCCAGGATCACCTCCCAGATGCTCATGGTGCACCCAGTCACAGAAGGGACATCTCCGAGTGTCCGAGGACCATGGTGCGAGCTGCTCTCCCCTCGCCCTCCTTCGCAGCCTGCTCGCACTCTCACATGCCCTCCGTATTTTTAGAAGAGCTGCCGGTTTTTTTCTCCAACCTCCCCCTCCTTGCTGCTCCTTTCCACGTCAACGCTCTCTGAGACGTGCACAAAAGCACTGGGAATGCCCATCAAACTGCGAGGAGGGCTTTAAAAATATCAGCAGGACTGAACCACTGTCTCCATTTGGTCCATCCGAAGGCAAGCAGGTTATTCTGAGAAACTGCACCCCTGAGATCCCTAATTATCAGCCCAAAGCTTGCAAGCAATTCACTGAGCGAATAGCACTCTCTTTCTCTCTCGCTTTCTCTCTCTCTTGCTCTCCCCTCCCCTCTCCTCCAACCCTCACTCCCTTCCAGGCTGAATGTAACCTGCTTTTTATGATCACAGATAAAAACCCCATTAATGGATTAAAGCATGCACACTGCTGGTGATTCGCAAATGTGATTATGTCATCCCCACTCCACAACCCCTCCCCTTCTCCTTGCAATTGTGACTAGACTTTCCTCAAGAGAAATCCCATGCTTTTATTTAATTGATTTAGCCATTAATTTGCAAACAGGCATGTAACCAAATTCCTGCACTACACTCAGTTTTCTGTATTTCAGTGCATCACTTTCACAGTTGCTGCCTGCTCTCTGCTAAGGCAGGGGAATTCTTTTCTGTGCTTGGAAAGATGGGGAAACGGATGTACTCTGCTACTTCTCTGAAGCCTTCATTAGGCTATCAGAACAACTTAGAGTCCTCTGCCTCCTACCATGATGTAGGAGGAAAACAGTTGTCTTCCTTCTTCCTTTAAAAGTAGGAAAACCAGAATTCCAACTGCCCAAGCAACTTGCCTGAGGTAAGAGGCAGGTAAGAGGCAGAGGCAGCCAGTCTCACCGTTCACTCTGCTTTCACAGCCCATGTTTCCCCCAATTACCCTTCCTTCTTGCAGGATGAGCACTGCAACCACAAAGGGGCTTGGCGGAAGCAAGCAGGGCTGAGTCTGCGTTGCATTTAATTAGATGTTCCAATTAAGTTTGTTTCAAAGGAAGGAGTGGGAACAGTTTTCCGATTGCCTTTGCTGTCACTTTAAAACCACTTTAACCAGGAATGCTAGAAGACTGCAAGCAATCAGGACAGCTTTCTCATCAAGGCAGCCAAGCCTTAATCCCTGTACAATGAAGAAGGAAAAGATAGCCCGCAGCAGCAGTTATTGTGGCTGGGTAAGTGCCTCAGCACACGTGCGAGAGCTGGATGCTGAGGTGGATTGTTCCTCTGTGCTTGCAGCAATCACTTGCCAGAGCCATGCATGCTTGATTTACAGCATCTCTTCCTCTCAGACATTCGCTTGCTCAGTGGTGGAGCTCACACCGCACACAGCGTCGGCACTTTGCACATGGTAGGAAGGCCCCTTTGCTTCAACTCAGCTGTTTCTGCTGGCGATATTTTTTCTTAGACCAAGCTTTAAAAGGCTGACAGCAAAAAGAATTCACTTTTTTAAGTGAAAGGGTTGTCATTAGAGACATTACATAAAGCAGATGGTTGTTTCCTGAGGTGTTGGTACCCATGAGAAAACCCTGTGAGAGACCACTTCTAGAGACTGTTCTAAGGTCCCTGCTGAGGGACCCTTCTAAGAGGGTACAGGGACACTATTAGGAGAGATATGCTGAGGGGAGAAGGTGCAGATCTCACTGCAGTGCAGCTCTAGAAAATGGGAGTTTCTTTGTTGGGTACAAAGGAAAAGCCCTGGGTGAGAATGATGCCCTGGAATCAGCAGACAGAGCAGGTGATGGTGCTAAGGGATTGGACATGGCCTCATGCTCAGCTATGAAAGAAAGGCGCTGTGGGTCCCCAGGAAGGGAACACAAGAGCTGGGAGGTGCAAATGCTGAAAGCCTGGGAAGTTTGTGAAGACATGGGGAGGCATCCTGGGAGACTAGGAAGGATAGAGAAAAAAAGGAAGGGAAACCCAGGGAAACATGGGACAGATGTAGGGCAGCAGGCTTCAGGTCCACTCCCACTGCTGCTGTTAAGGTGACACTGATCACACCTTCCCACCCTCAGCCTCCTCCTTGGTCCTAAGCAGCCCTACGTGGCCCCAGCCACACAAATCGTTCGAGGCCCAGCAGCAGTACCGGCTCTGGGTAATTTGGACGTTGCCATGCTGCACACAAGGCCAGATCTGCTGCATCTTGTCACTGGGGCAATGACATTGCCCCAGGGTGAAGGGAAGCCCTCCACCTCTGTATGGTGTTGTAAGAGATTTTTCTTTTACATCATTGTCTCAAAGCTTGCTGGGGACACAGACAAACAGTCCAAGCAAGTCCTGGGCAAGGGTTGAGAAATCCTTTGTCTGAGGGACACAGACAGACAAGGCCAGGGGCAATGAGAGAGAGGTAAGCCGCAGCTCAATGGCCGTGAAGCGGTGTTTTGTGTGGACTTATCTCAGGGAAGATGGCCATCTCAGGAGGCGCTGCACATGACTCTTACCCAAGCGCCCAGGAATGTCAGGACGAAGGATAAAAAGGGGACCTATAACCTGTATTTGAACCACTGTTTCTTAATTTCACGCCCGCTATACAGATATTAAAAGAACCTCATCTCCCTCCTATAAGTTGGAGCGAGACAGGTGTCAGCTACTTCTCCTGAAACCTGGCATCCCACTTCTCTCCTCCCAACCCTTGTTCCCCAAGGGTTCAATGTGGCACCGATAACATTCCTATCAGTGTGGAAAAGCTACCTTCAAGCAGTAGATCCAGCTCATGCTTCAGTAATTATCAGCCAAAATGAATGAATCTTCCTAGTTCCGTGTTTCACAGTTTTCTGACAGTTTGGCCTTTTCCTACCAAATAATTCTTGTACAAATTTTGGGGGGGCGGGTTAAGAAAAAGCTACATTCCCTGTACTCATAAGAAAAATCCATCAGTTAAAAAGGGCTTAAATCTACAGTCTAGTGAAAAAGCACTCTAAAGTTCAGGGAAAGCTGAAATTTTCTTTTGATGACTGCCTTGAGTCTCGACGCGTATGTCTAACTCCAAAGGCCCACATACTTTACATAACTGATTCCCCTGCTGCTAATCCCTGCAGTTGAGGATATTTATTAAGTGTTTCTGGATTTATTTATCTTGCATAGCTAAGTGAGCATGATGGATCCAACAAATAGCTTCATTTTATACAAATCAGAAGGAGTTTGCTGTGCATATTTTACCATGGTAGAGGGGATGAATGCTTTGCACAGCTTGCCTGTGAGCTCCTAGCGGTGGGGCCTGCATGTTTTGTTTGTAATATTTCAATGACAGACTACATTATGAATGAGCAATAAGCACTACTAACAAATAACAACTATCACCAGCGACCTCTGACAGTGTTTGGTCTTGACTTGGAAAATCAGTACTCCTTTGACATTTGTTGCATTGTCAATCACATAAAACCACACAATATTTACTATGTTTTCAAATATTAAAAAGCAGAGGTGGCTCTGTGAAGCTATGGCCTGGCAGATGGGCACTGGGCCGATGACCAGGAGACCTGGGTTCTCTATGACCACGGAGACACCAGTTCACCAAAGCTCTCACCCCTTTCCTCTATTTAGGTTGTAAATTCACGGGGATAAAAACATGAAGTGTGTACAGAATGAGGACCTTATCTTTGAGGGATCCCAGAGGCCTTATCTCAATCAAATAACGAAATTTATCCACAAATGACTTGTTCTAGAAGGGTTACACAAATCTCTTGCTATTTTTTAAAACTACAGCTAATGGATTAGTGGCCTACATACCACATGCATACCAGGCTACCTTGACTGAGATATGATTTGTAACGATATTGTGCTAAACAGGAGGAATATTGCAACAATATGAAACTTCTCTAGATAAGAAGTTAATTTATCACTCTGCATTTGGTAGTTTGTATTACATTTTTGTCTATATTTGGCAATGGACAGAAAAACATGAAGCTGATGAGATCGCCAATGTTTAGGCCTGACCTCTGGTTCAAAAGTTCTGTGACACACAGACAGAAGGTTTGTCTTTACTGGAGTGTTCATAAAGGAAAAAGTTTTTTTTCTGCATGCTGCTCTACTGAGATTATGAAATAGCTAGTTGGGATCAGCAGAATTTTTTGAGGTTGTATCCTATATATATGTGGTATAAGAGATTATTTGATGACCTAACTAAAACACTTCAGTCACTCATTTCGTAGGAAACCAGTGTTTAAGGCTGAAGAACACCAAGAAAACTAACTGAAAATCTAACCTGAAGATGCATTTGAGAACTGATACATTTCCTTTGGACTGAAAGATGCAGCTGCCAACTTTCTCTATCAAATTTTGGCATCTCAGTGTCATGTTTTCACTGCACTATTTTTCCCCTACTGTCTCCTCTTCTTCCTTTGATCAACAGTGTACAAGCTTCTCAGGACTTTAATAATAAGAATACTGACACATGGAAGAGTTTGTTTCTCCTCTATCACAGTCTTAGCCAGCTCTAAGACAGCCAATTTCCTCTGGGAAGCCCACATGCCTGCAGACAGCCCATGGGTATATCCTCTTCCTTCCATCAGCTTTTGCTTTTTGCTTCATTGCTGTTTGGAGAGTTTGTTCGTGAACTGCAGAGCTGATCCTTATGGATCCCTTCCTGCTCAGGATGTTCTATGGTTCTATGAATTATTTCCTTTCATAGTCAATTAAACCGACCTTGAGTAACAGCAGTATCTTTCCACTGATTATTTGAGGGTCAAGTGTCACACTGTAAAAAGCAAAATCTTACCCTTTTTTACACATACAAGACAGAAAATGGCTCATGAAGTCATCATTCAGCTGGATTGATGGTAGACATTTCACTGACTTCAGCAACCAGAATTTCGTCTTGTACGCATTGCACAGATAACGTAAGTAATGACTTGTGTAACATCTACATACTTGTCAGGATGGCAGACAGACTTAATGAGGCAGCTCATTGCTCCACTGAAAACGTCAGGCAGCAGACAACGCTTTCTTCTCTGCATCTGCAGTATCACAACCTCTGCATCACCGTGCAGAAGGAGATCTAAGCCTCTGGTCAGATGGCTTCTCACAGGCCACCAGTTTGGGGAACGAGCAAATGGAACCTTCACTTTCCTCACTTTGTGGACATGAATGCCGCAAGAGCTACAGCACTTCACTGAAACCCTCCTAGTGAATTATTCATGCCCAGGTTGTCACTGTTAGTTTGCTTCACGGAATCAAAGAAACGTCAGGTCCTCAGGCAGATGGCTGATGCTTCTGGCGCTTCTGCCTGCCGGATGGATTTTTAAGGGCTGCAAGGGCAGCTAAGGAAATCAACTCAGCAGCAGCAGTGAGGCCTGGGAGCCTTCAAGTTAGGTGGGAAGACGTGTGTAGGTGGGTGGCACTGCTCTCTTTATCTCCAGGCTGTTTCTGAGCAAGGTGAAAGCTTTCTTCCCGGGGACCAATTAGTGGATGAGCAGCTCAGTCACCCCCAGTTTGAGTGCAACTTCATCTTTCGGTGTTATTTCTGCAAATGTAAGATGTGAAATTACATGTTCCAGCACATTTTCACAATTTATATTTTAGAGTCATTCAATGACAATATTAGCAATGAGGCACATCTTGAGTCACACTTCATACTGAGCTATATTAGTCCCATTGGAAACTATACATTTTCATAGGAAATGGTGTTCACCTAAAGGAGAAAGTTCATGGATGAACCAGCCTTATGCCTACAAAGACAACAAGGAGGCCTCAAAGAAAAGCTCAGTCCACAGGGCTTAAGTGAACTTTCTATTTTTCAATTAATTAGCTATACTTTATTCACATTAGGAAAAAAAAAAAAAAACTGAAGAGGACTTTTGTTTTCTGATTTTTTTTCATTCTAAGTCTGTTTTTACATCTTAACTTATTCCTCTTTCTTACATACAAATGAAAGAGTAACAAATGAGAAAATTAACACAATTTTATAGATATTTTGAAAAACTCCATCAAACAAATGATTGAAATATTTGGAAATAGAATTAAAAGAATGTATCTACAGTATTGCAACATTTAGAACAATATCAGAGAGGGGAATTAATTTTTCTATCCATCAGCTCTTTCACCATTCATCACTTTGAATTCATATCTCCAGCCCAAATCCCAGAACATATTTCTGGAAAGGCGCATTTCCAGCCTCTGGAAACTGTTGAAATATGATCCAGGATGCTGTATGCACTAAGTGACTGAGAATTGCCTTTGGAAAATTGGGAAAATGGGTCCCATGTCCTGATAACTAAGTGGCATTTGTCATAGCCGTGCTTTTCTAGACAGAATTGGTTCTCTTTACCCCATAGTTCTTCAAAATGTCAGAGCAGAAATCATTTTTGTCACACTTGCTCTTTTTAAACATGCAGTATTTCAATTTCCTCTTGTTTTAAACTGGGCCAGCTCCTTCTCTTCTCACTCAGCAAAGACAAAAATAGAGGCTGGCAACAGAAGGCTTTAAAAACGACACATAGATGGCAGTGCCTATTTCTACATCCAAAGTAATCCATGAGCACCCACTCTCAGAAACTTCTGTTTATCCATTAACTCGGTATTGTCATTTCTTCTAATTGTCTCATTTTTACTTGGCTATTCAAATCTATTCACTTTTTTGTCTGCAGGAAACATTCATTATTAGAAGTGATACCTGAAATAAATGACTTTTACATCTTGTCGTTCTACCGAGCAGATTGTCATCCCTGCTCTTTCTAACAGGTTCTGTATGGGAGGAGGTTAGCATGCTTATAGGGATCATCTAACCAGACCCATCTGCTTTATTAGGGAACAGTATTTGGATCTGTGCCTCAGGCTGGGCAGAAGAACTTGGGTTCAAAAAAATATTTGTACGTGATTGTATGGATTTTTTACAAAGTTTTCTCCATTCCCCTCACTGTGATGGAAGCAGGAGTTCAGAGCTCAATTAACTGTGCATCACCTGAAATTCTCCACTTCATTGCCTAAGTATTTTCCTTTTTTGAAAAATTAATGTCATTTCAAATCAGAGGATGCAACATTCCATTCATAGGTCTTTAAGGGACTACAAGGCTCAAGGTGAAGCAGACTGTTAAAGGCTTAAGTTATTTCCCTGTAACAGTAATTTTGGGTCTGTGATCCCTTTGGATTTGTGTTACATTGATAATGTATTTATAAGGCTTTTCTCCCTTTTTTTTTTTCCTGGAAGATTTTCTACAGGTCCACTATCTCTGAGGATTTCAAAATGTTAATTAATGCTTTAACTGGCTCGCCATGGTAATGAAAGAATTAGGCAACCTTTCCAATAAGCCCATGCAGCCTTTTTAAAATAGCTAAGTTATTTCCAGGCCTGTCCTTTGGAAAGCAGTATTACATGCTCCTGCTATCAGTTTAGCCTTTTCACTGTAAAATGCTATTAGCCTAAAGGTTGTAGGGTAGAACCTGGAAACCTACTTCAATACTTTGCAATCAAAAGCTATTAATCAAAATATGTTAATATTAAAGATGGTTGGTTGCTGTTTTAAATCCAATCATTTCGCCACCAGCCACAAGTAGGGCTCGCATGAAATTACCACAGCGACAGCTCTGCTGGCATTTTATCTTTGCAATCAAGACAGACAGTGGCCTCTGTTTGAAAAACAATTTTGCCTTCTTGTATCAAATTTTGAAGATCACAATAAACTGTGTGAGCTGATTCTGTCATCTTTTACTGACACCAAACAGGAGCTTATCTCCATAATATCCCAGCTGTGGTGTCACCGGTTGCTTTCTAAAGCTGCCAGCAAACAGAGCATTCATTTTACTGCATCTAAAGGGCAGTGGATCTCCTCAGTCCTGGAGCAGAGCATGCTCCAGCAAAAATACAAGTGAAAATCAGAAAAAAATACAAATGCAAGTCTAGTTGGCAAGCAACTGAGCTGATCAGTGTGGGCACTGAAGGGGCAGGAGGTGCTGCTGACCTACAGGAGCTCACAGGGGCACCAGTGAAGTCAGAAGTCTCTGTAGGACTGATGATGAAGTTAAGCAAAATGAAAATGTGGAGTGATAAAGGTGCTGACAGCCACGTAGGCTGGATGGGAAATCACTGAAAAGTCAGGCAAACAGCTTCTGGAATCCCTTTGGGCAAGCTACAAAATGTACACAGGATTGAAATACATGGATCAGAAAGCTACAGAGCAAGCACTGATTTATCTCATTGGGAGATTAGTGTCTGCTAAGAAACATGGCATCCGTATCAGGCTAATTTCTTTAATTTCATCTTTTTCTTTTTTTTTCATTTCATTGATTTTATATCATTTATGTGCACAGTGAATACAACATACTGTTGTTGACTGATATCTTAGATTGCTTAAAAGACCTCTTTAAAACTGCATAACGATGAGAGAAGATTTTAAATGTTTTTAATGCATTTGTGTTTTTTGAAAGCTGTAGCAGAAATGCAAAGTCACAGCTTGAAGCAGTGATTGAGCACCTGGTGGGAAGGCAGGACCAACCCAGGGCAGCTCAGGTGCATGCAATGCAGCTGAATGACTGGAAAGGCTGGAGCCAGGATCCACCCCTTCCCAGACCTCATTTAAGGGCTGGCAAGGGAAGCAAGGGGTCTTGCTGGAGTTCCCTGCATGCTTGAGGCCTTCTGAAGGTAGGAAGCTTCTTTTCTTTATTTCTGCACTGGTGGCTGTTGCACTTGAGCAAATCCTCACTTGCTGCAGACTAGGACTCTGCTGTCATTGCTGTGCTTTCTACCATCTCTTTCCACTATCTTACACTTGGTGAGCCAGGTGGGTGCAACAGTGGTGTACTAATTAGGATGGGTTATCTTAAAAAGATGGTGCATTGGTTGGTCACCAGGACCCCTAATACCTGAAAGGAGGAATTCCTGGGTTCCCTGTGGCTGAGTGCTGTATGGATTGTTGTCAGTGGTTTATGGGCTGGTTCAACTTGGTTCCATTGTAATAAGTGGGGGCCAATGCAACCTGTGTGAGGAGGTTGACAGTGTACTTTGTTTTGCCCCTGGCATAAAATATGTGGATAAAACTCTAAAAAACCATAATGCTTCAGCCAACTGTAACTCTGCCTTGTCATCTTCTTTATTTTTTTTAATGCAGTAAATATTTTGTTACCTCGAAGAATGAAATAACAAGTGTTGGCTACTTCCTTCCATGTTCATGTCTGTCAGCATGCTCCATCTGGGTTACTGATAGTGAAGGAGAACTTAATTAAACCATGTGCAGAGAGAGATTAAGCAAAGCAGGAGTCCAAGATCAGCCAGTCAGTGATAGACCAATCTGGAAAGTATACATTCTACATTAGTACTGAGCAGCTGTAAGCTATATGCAAAGAGTGATTCTGTTAGCTCTTACTGAAGGCTTTTCTTGCCTGGTCTCAAGGGATTTCCATCCCATAATAGCAAAAGTGAATTTAACCCATATTCATAGAGAATATTTCCATGTCTACTAGACAATACATTTGCCCCTTTAACATACTCTTCTGATAAAGGTTCAGAGGAACAATGGGGAAAGAAGCAAACCAGCTCCTCAAGAAAATTGAAGATTTGTGGAAGAAGCAAGTGAGGAAAGAGACTCTGAAGTGATCAGTTATATCATTTATATCATAATATTCCAGAGCACCTTTGACTTTTATTATATTAAATTTCACCTGGTAGTTGAGAGTCTAGCTACAAAATCTAATTATATGGCAGAAAAAGAAGAAAGCGATGAAGTTTTGTCTATGTCTTTAATCACTATTTGATTTTTATCAACTCCAGGCATAATAAACATTGCCTGCAATTATCTCCCACGCAGAAAGATTATTTCCTTTTGTCATGAATACCTGTCATCCAGACCCAGGAGCACTGTGCTGTTATTACTTGGGGCTCAAGGAACACCTGTGCTTTCTTGGCAAGCTCTGGGAAGGAAAATGCTTTAGCAGTATTCATGTAAGAATTTCCTCTGCATTCATGAGTATCTCATGATCTGGTAGCTGTAAAGAGAGAAAAATTAAAGGAGCTGCTGACTGATCCCTTTCCTCACCACTGAGGATCTTCCACTCTTCAACACAGCTTTGAGATGATATTTTCATAGAGAATGTTCACGTTTTGTTGGAGAGTTGAAATCCCCAAGGATTTCGACAAAAAGCTCCAAAATATGTTTGCATTTTCCTGACGAAATGCGGTTTTCTCCTGAGTAAAAGGAAAAAGAAAAAACCTAATTATTGCCATTGCTCCTTACACTTTAAATTGCTAGAATTCAGTTCTCTTCAATGGTTTCTTTTTTTCTCTGCTTCTGGGCTTGAAAGATGAGGGGGCTAGAGCCAGGAGCCCTCCATGCATGGAGACGCAAGCAGTGTCCTGCAGCCCTACTGAGGATGCTGGAGTGACCTTTTCTCTTTCACATGAAAAACAGCATCCACAAAAACTGCCTAAATGCAGAGAACTTAAGGTTGTCTTAAAACATCCCCTGCAGTATTACAAGCAGCGTTGCTATTTTGGATTTCCAACTATTACAGATTCCCCTCTCTGTATGTAATCCTCTTCCTTTTCTTGATACAGTCTCTGTGAAGTCACAGAAGATTTTGCATTTGTTTACTCTAACCTTTCTTGCAAATTAGTGGAGAGAAATCAAACAGGACTAAAAACTGATACTTTACTTGTTTGTTTTGTTGGTTTTGTTTTTTTTTCCTCATAGACCTTTTTAGCATCTGATAATCTGTCTCTTCTTCAGTGTTGTCTCAGGAGAAGGAAAAGGTATTACAACAATCTCTATTGGAGAGCACACCAAGAAATTCAATCCAATTAGTTTCAACAGTGTGGGTTTTTTCCCTCAGGAAAGCCTCTAACATACATTGGCAGGGCAGAGATTCAAGTGTCAGTGACACCCTTCAGATAAATTGCCCTTCCAAATGGCATTTCAGAGCTTAGGACTGACTTGTGTGCTCTGTCCCTCAGACCAGAGGATGCCTGCACCTTCTCAGCAAGGTCTTTTGCCTGCAGGGCTGCAGTGACAGCCACCACGTGCTCTGGAGGGATGTGGCAGAGGTGGACAATGCACACCACTGTTTAGAAGCAACTCTGATGGAGTCAACCAGGAGAGCTCGAGTGCTCAATGTAAGTGACACATGTGGGTGGACACACACTGTCTGTGTTTTGAAGTAGCTATGGCCAGAAATGATGCTAAGGGGGAAAGTTGGAGGTGAAAGAGGAATGTGTGCTTTATGATGCAGGAGCAACTCTGGCTTCTAGCACTGGAGGACCTACTGCAAGACTAATTAAAGGCCTCATTTACGGTTTCAAGGAGGCCATTATAACACTCAAAACTCCCTGAAATATCAATGTTGTAGCCATGCCCTGCTCTTCTGGTCATAGAACCATATAATGGCTTGGGTTGAAGGACCTTTAAGATCATCTAGTTCCAACCCCCTGCTATAGGCAGAGATACCTCCCTCTAAACCAGGTTGCTCGAAGCCCCATCCAGCTGGTCATGACCTAGCATGCCCTCCTGGCTAATCAGAAGGCAAAAGCTCCTGACAAAAGAGGCTTCTGGGCTGCCAGAAGGGCAAAGAACCTGTCCTGGGAGGAGGATATGGCACGTGCTTCAGGGTGGCCTGTTAGATATGTACAACACGTGCTTTAGTACTTCTAACCTGCATGTCAGGTCAGAATGTGTTTGGTTACAGCTGTCTCCTTAGCAGATAATGAAAAGGCACTGCTTTAAATTGTTTAATAATTCAAGAACTGTGAATGTGTGTCATTCACAGTGTATATGCTAATATAGCAGCTTGAATATGTGATGTTCCTCTTTGCCAACATATGCTTATAGATAAAGTTGCAGGTTACTCTTCAAATGCATACTTGCATGCATGTTTGTATGTGAACTTGTAAGAATTCGCCTATCTTAGGAGTGAGGAAGTGCTGCCGTGGCAAGTGGAGGAGATGACAAAGCAATGTTGAAGCAAACTTGTGCTCGTTATCAACAAACAGTTTGCTTGGTGTAATAAACCAGCAGCGCAGTTCCAGAGCAGCCCCCTCCCTCAGCAGCAGGGGCACCCAAACCACATGATGTGAGGGTTCCTGATGCAGAGTAGAAGCTCAGATTTATTGTCTGAGTCATGAATTGGCTAAAATCAATATCTTTAATTTAAAGCATTGTTTGGGATTGTTTTTTCATAAGCCTCACAGGCAGAGGGCTGCACTGCTGAACCTCTGCTTTAAAGTAACTTTTTCTGACATGACATGCATCACTGAAAATATGGGTTTGTAATGAAAGTGATGGCACAATGCTGTAGTGTTGCAAACACAAACCTGCAGTGACAGTATCTCAGAGTTCTGCTCTGATTTTTACATGTTTATTCTTAAGAAGTGATCTCTCCTTAGTGAGAACCTGTGACAGCTTAACCCGTACCAGATCTGAACAACAACTCTGTCTTTTGGGTATTAAATAAAATGGTCTCATCCATGGCAGCAAAGGGGATGAAACAGTGAGTAAATCACCCCCTGGAGATGCTCTGGTATGGGTGGTGTCCCTGGTTATAGCAGCAGCAAACCTTCACTGTGTCTTCATCTGTCACAGCTCAGAAGGGTGGTGACTCAGTGGTGAGGCACTGGAACAGGCTGCCCAAGGTGGCTGTGGATGCCCCATCCCTGGAGGCATTGAAGACCAGGCTGGATGTGGCTCTGGGCAGCCTGGTCTGGTGGTTGGCGACCCTGCATATAGCAGGGGGGTTGGAACCAGGTGATCTTTGTGGTCCTTTCCAACCCAAGCTGTTCTATGAAGTGTAGAGGCTCTGTCTCCCAGTTACCCACAGAGATCCTGCAATGGGAAAGGCAGGAAAAATAGCCTTTCCCCTTGGATGCTGAGCTAAAAACAGGCAAACTGCTTTTGCAGCTCTTGGTATTTGTATTCTTCTGCATCCTTCTTAGACTCCTTTAATTCCTGATGGAAATAAAGCTGTTGCTTTCCTAAGCACAATGATAACCCTCATTTCTCAGATCTCCTAGTTGAGTAGACTAGATAGGTAGGCAGACAGATATAATATCCAGCAATATTCCAGGATATTACCTTTATCCACGAAAGGATAGAATTGCTTGCTGTGAGACTTTATTAAATGCTATGTCAGATCATTTTCACCATGGGAAGCTGTATCACATAGCAGATGAAAAAAAAAGTGCAGAGCCTGCAATAAATATTCTAAGAGGCAATACATTATCCAAACTGAACTTAAAATCCTCTCAGAGATTCTGAGAGCACAGAGCTGTGTCTCATGTTATCAGTTTTTTTGATTGCCCCATTGCAAGGTGCTCTGTTTTGCATGTAGAAAGCCAAGGATGTGTTGTCTGCTAATGTGATTTTCAGAACAGCAGAGAATGCATCACTTGAAAACCTCCTAAATGAGATCTATCACATTAACAGCAAGACAAATGAAGAAAGCCATTTTGCTTTTCTGTGTGCTGAAGGAGCGTGAATTCTTAGAAAGGCTGTTGATGTGAGCACCCAGAGCTACAGGGTACGGGCTTTGAAGAAGCATGAAAGCCAGACCTTACAGAAGGAAGAGTCTGCTCAGACTTCCAGCCCCACTAAGAAAATATGTTCTACCATCAGTTTGAGTTGCTTAGGATCTAGCCTGACTGCAGCTTTAGAAATGGCCCTATTGATCTGCCACCGGCTCTGCTGGAGGAAGATGCTTTACAATATAGCCATCATTAGTAAGTTCTCCTTCAGCCATTTACTCAGGTTCAAGTGTTTGGGCTGATTTTTTTTATTACTATTTTTTAAACAAGAAAATATCCTTACTTAATCTCCTGGAGAAGTATTCCCTTCTACTTTGCTGCATCTCCCTTCTATTCTGCTGCATCTGTTAGACTGGTGTGTTTTGTCTCCAGCACTATTTACTACTTTGATATAACAAGGTAAGAGGGACAAATGGAGCATGTTGTTTTCAAAAAGAATCTGAAAAACTATGGCTTCTGTGTTAGGTTTGGTTTTATTTTATTTTTTTTTCCCCAAAGAAAAATCTCATAGGTGAGAAAGACAGTACAAGAAAAATGCCTTTTTTCTGACCAATACATGAAATAAACTGTTCAGGAACAAGTAATCCTCCAAAAAATATATATATTTTGAGCAATTCTGGTAAGATTAGGGAGGGAAGTCTTACTTGTGTATCTCGCTGCTCTTGCAGCATGGGCTAGAGGTGTGAAGACACAAGTTTTCCAGGGTTTGGATATTTTAGGTAATCTTTCTTTAGCAATTTGTATTATTCTTTATTCATGTTACTTCTGTCCTCTGTTCATTCATTTAAGACTTCCATCCCTATGACAGGTGGAATTTAAGGCCCAATCCTGATGTTGGCAAAGTTAGTAGAAGACTTACTGAAAGACTAGTGGAAAGAATTTGAAGGGTTTTAATGAGGAAAATATTCCCAAGCGGAGGAAAAATAAATGGGTTCAGCTGCCTGCCTTTATTAGGAAAGGCTACTTAAGAGAAGACTTCTAGAACTGGGAGAGCATGGATTAAGTTATGAAAGATATACATGTGGCCATTCCATATGTTTGTACCAAAAATGTGAAACAAGAAAACCAACCCAGCAAAACCATTCATGAAACAAAGGCTGAAAAGCCATGATTGATGCCAACAAGGAGAGAAACGTTAATATTTCAGATTTATTTTACTGTGTGGTGTTATCTGTTGTGCTCTGACAACTTATGGCACACGATCTGTGCAATAATCAAGGCTTCTTGCTGAAGACAACACATAAACAAGTCTGGTTAGAGCTAGGAGCCTGAGAGAGCACCAATGGATTCAAGGATGAGCATCTGGTGGCATTCATAGTAGTAGTTACCAAGAAATAGATGATCCTGGTCAGCTAAAAGCAGATACACCAGCACACAGACTACTCAATTCTGCACAGAAATGCAAAAATGGTTTGTTATGGAGTGGTCTGAGGTGTGTCTGACTGGGAACACACCAACTCCAGGGAAAGGAGTTTGGAAGCCATATAAGAGATATGTTTACAGGTGATGGGTGGCGCCTCCGCTAAGCTGTCAAATCCTGAAATATTAAGAGGATCTCTCACTTCCCAGAGCTGTGGAGACATTTATCTGCACTGGACTTTGGTACCACAATTGTGTCTGCATCTGTTCAGAACTGAGAAGAAAGACAAGTGACAACCAGTCCAAAGTGCCAGACTGAAAGCCTGTTCCAGCTTCCAATACATCTTTCCCAGCAAAGTGTCGGCAAGCCTGAAGGGTTCTCTTCAATCAGTTTTTTTTACTTGCTCATAATTGAAAACTGTCAAGTGTCTGTGAAGATTTCCCTGATTATTTTTTTTGTTTGTTTTTCAGGGGAAAATTACAACTGCATGTCTCAGCTTGCATCTCTCTGCTCCTTTCTATCAGCAGAGCACACTGTACCTGCTCAAAATAATTACTGCGCTCTACCTTGTGCATAGAGTAACTGAAACTCTCCATCCCCTTCAAGGATGCTTCCTCCTTCCTGCCTGTTTTCAGCCACGTGAGGCCACGCTAAATGAAGACTAACCTGACTGCTCAGTGAGCTCACACAGTAGGATGCAATGGTTTCCTCCTGGCTAACTTTGCAATCCCAATGACCAATTGTCACGATGCGACTGTTCGGCTGGGGGTGAGCTCTGATTTCTGCTCTTTTTGAGGGACGTGATTGCTGGCTGCTTGTGGCCCACACTGCCCTATGTGCCCTATGTCTGAAGTGCATTCAGGGATACGAAAGAAAGACCAACCTGAATTAGAAGGTAAGGATGAGACCCTTTCTAAAAGTTTGACTGCTTGCTGCCAAAAGAAAAGCCCATTATTTCTATCTTCTGATAAATGTGGCTTTACAGAGTTAGAACGGAAGTGGTTGTGTTCTCATGCATCTTCAACAGCTGAAATTATATTGTCATGCACTTCTGTAGTGCTCTAATTGTTACAAACTAGGTTTCTGTTCATGTTTATGGACAATCTGCAGTTATTTCTTAAACAGAAGGAGCTGTGTATTTGTGTGGCCCTTCTTGTTCTAGTCATGGATTTAAGTGCAGTACAAAGATGGTTCTATGTAAACATGTTCCAAGCTCTGGAGCTTTTAAGTTAGTTTAATTACAAATATGTATTTTATTCAGCTACTTATCTGAAATTTATCAGCCTCAAGATACTCTAGCTGAGATAATCATGTAATATTTAAACTGCAGGCACAGACTGTCGTTAGAATTTAATACAAGTGGTATTTCAAAGAAAATCTGGATAGAGGCTGTTACACACCAAAAAGGTTTGTGCAATATAGGCATGTGAGGAATGTTTTTCAATTCTACAGAATAAAATAGGGTTAGAAAGGTGTGGCAAAGGGATCAGAATGGGTCAGAAGCCCCTACTATCAACTCCAGTGTAGTAAAGGCACAGAGGACAGGCAGGTGTAAAATCTGTAGTTTTCTTACCCACAAGGCAGAGCAATTCATCTCCTCATGAGTGCAGCCCTTCACTGTGGCAACCATGACCTGTGTGGAAGACACAAGTCAATGTTGCTCTGTGTTTTAATAGGATTGATCTCCTCTTCCTGAAGAGGAGAAAGCACAGTGAATCAGCTTGGTGCCTGTGAACCATAATAAGCCCAAGGAAACAGCACTCAGACACATGGATTTGGGCATGCCCAAACCTTTTGCTTCTCTGTTTTAAAAAAAAAAAAAAAAAAAAAAAAAAGTCATAGCTTAATGTTCTGCCATATCCAGGCTCTTTTAAGCTTTCCATTCTGCAAATCACTCAGCTTGCTGACTTTTCAACTTAGTAAAGAAAACATCATGCTTTTCCATGGGGTGGAAAAAGAGCTGGGAACAAAATGCTTATGCAAAATCTAATTGGCAGTGGGGAAGAAGATCAGATTTATGGGGGGGGGAAAAAAAAAGTTTGTCTAGCAACCCTTCCTGCTCTGTTGACAGGAAAGTTTAAAAAAAAAAAAATAAAAAAATCTGCTGAATTACTTATGTCCCAAAACTCCTGGCCTTCCTAATGGCAGTGACGCAGATACTGGGGCCTTGAGAAGAAGCTGGGATCCTTCTGCTGTTTAAAGAGCATGTATCAGGTAAAACTTTACAGGAAGGGCTGTTAAGCACTGGAATAGGCTCCCCAGGGAGGTGGTTGAGTCACCATCCCTGGATGTGTTTAAAAACCATTTGGATGTGGTGCTCAGGGATGTGATTTAGCTGTTAGAGTTAGGGTGGGATGGTTAGGTTGTGGTTGGACTCAATGATCTTTAAAGTCTTGTCCAACCCGAGCAATTCTGTGATTCTATTTATGAGCATTGTGCAGCTGCGTTTTCCAGCCTCTTTGGTTAATGAGAGGATTTCTAATGACAGATCCCTGAGGTCTGTCAAACCTCGCTGTGCTGCTCTCCCATATGGAAAAGCACAATCAAATGTATTGAAAGCAATTAAGTTGGCTTTTAGAAATACAATGAGAAACCATTGGCAATTAAAGACTGGGAATTTTCCACATGGAAAAGAAGCAGTTTTTTGTTTTTCCATAAACTCACTGAAATTTTGCAAAGACCTTAAATATCACAGTGCTCTGGGAGAGTTCAGCTGCAATGTTCTGTTTAATTCTCAAAAACCAACTTGAAAATGGGAAATGGAAATGTTTTTGTTTTCATAACAGAACTCTGCAAACATCATCCGCTCTCTCCCCCTCAATTCTGTGGGAGAAGTTTCACTTCTTCTAATAAAGTACATGGGTTTCCACCAAACCCTATCAAGAAAATGACTTTGCAATGAGCTGACATTGGTTGTTATCCTACACCTTGCCACATTTTATTAACTTGGCTTTTAACAGATGGCTTTTAATGAATAATTGCACAGTAATGAAGAAAATATCTTGCTCTTAAATAAAGCTGTATGCAGATTTACTAATCAATTTAGACACTGTATCTCATTTGCTTATGGTACACCTCCTGCTTGGAGTATAATTATCCAACTTTGTGTCTGCATTTAACTGCCTGAATTGAGAGGAATAAAAGTGGGTAGAAGTAATTAATTGTCAATGTTACCCACCAGCTTCTATTGAAGGCTTCATCAGCCTGGAGCTGATGAGCTCTGAATACTTCAGGCTTTTAGAGATATTGAAGATGTTACTTGTGAACATTTTCCTCCTTTGTGGATACAGCATCGCATTGTACATAACCTGCACCATGCAGTAAAGATCTCTTGAAGCATGCAGTTCTTCCTGAAGTATCACTGTCCTTTTTTGCTACAGCACTGCAGTGGATGGAAGGGAAAAACAGGCTTTCAACTCTCTTTGAAGCATGACGTGCACTACGGCACTGTGTGTTTATTAAGATGATGAGTCTGGTCCAGCTGCCCTTCAAGCCCAGGGAAAGCACTGCCAAGCCTTGATCTGTTCCCTGATGGGCTTCCTGAATTCGGGACAACTCACCACCAGCTCTGTTTTCTTCTTCCATTGAGAGCCTTTCAGTTCACTCATAACTCCTCTGCTCCTTCGCTTTGGTTTCCCATAGCACTTTGATTCATTCCTCATCCTCACACACATTCCTCTTCACGGCTGAGTTTTTAACTTGTAAATCAGAACCAGCAAATCCCAGCAATACTGTAATTTACCACAGAGCTCTCCGTGAAACAGTCACAAATTAGCTGTACTAATGGCATCTAACTGGTTTGATGCTGACGAAGCAACAGCAAGACCCAGCAGTGGTGTCATCAGCTGCAAGCAATGCTGGTTTTGTGGGGCTCTTCAGAATGATGGGATTTCACAGTCCTTGCGTGGCTTTTTGTCTCCATTTCTGTCACTGACAATTTTCCATTCTTCTCAGTTTTTTCCCTTTTTTTTAAATGAGCTCCTATAAAGAACTCTGTTTTGCTTGGGTTTGCGTGCAGGGGGAAGCCTCTTATTTAAAAGCAGACAACCTGGGGCACTGCTTGGTGTCATTTTATTTTATTTTTTCTTTATTTTGCTTATCGAGGCTTCTATACTCTGAAAGATTGTTATGTGAAAGCTTTTAGATCCAGCACAACTCATCTTAACCACCCTTAGGGTCTGGCATTTTGTATATACTCTCCAGGTATTCATCATCCCTAGGAGCAAACTGCAGAGGAATTTAGGACTAAAAACTAGGTCATTTCAGTGATGTATGCAAAAATTTTAGGCTGATGAGTGCAATTTCAGTGCCTAATTTCTTCTAATACTTGAGGTGGTTTGGAAGGACTGACAGCTCTTCTTTTAGAAGTGTTATTGTGGGTGATCCGATGGACAATTAGAATAGAAGTTTTAACTGCTTGGGGTTGTTTTTTTTTCCAGTTTATATGAAAATAACAAAGAAAAAGAACATGCATTGCTGCTGTCCTATGGTGTGTTGCTGATATTCTACCTTACATCAAAGGACACTTTTAAAAGGCCATTTAGCACATCTAATAAGTTAAGCTGAATGAATGTCTGTATCAAGAAACCCAGCCAACACCAATCTTGTGTACAAACTGCCATAAACTCCTGCTTATAACATGCATTAGAAAAAAACCTCCTTCCACACTGAAAAGAGCAATTGCCTCTTGTTGACATAAATCATGAGAGAACCTGGTGAAGCTTACAGCATAGGTATGAAACAGAACTGAGATCAGCATTTTCGTAACAGGTCATTGCCAAGAAGTAGTGTTAGGAAAACTCTGCCTTGCATGCAGTATTTCA